CGCGCTCGCGCGATTTTAGTGGCATTCGTTGTTTCTCGCCATCCTTCCCCCCCCCTCCGCGATTGATTCCTCCCTCTCCCTACAGTGCAACTTTAGTTCGAATATTTCGCATTACGTAGCTAGTCGACGCGTTCGTTCAGAAAATGTGCTGGAGAACCTGTCGCAACTCAAAACATTTTAACTCGAGACAGACACGAAAAAAGAAAGGGACAGCAAACTGGTTTTACTGATATTTGAAAAACATGTTTTCCCAGCTAGTATGCCAATATATACTTTGTAACACTCGACAGGCGCACCGGAATAGTTAATGAAGAAATATAGCGCACAAAATAACAAGAACGAGTAAATTAATGATGATCGAGAGAGACGAGACTGAGTAAACAGTACCGAGAAAAAGCCAAGTAGAGCAAGTGATATTATTACGCAGGTGCGTTCGCGTGGGAAGAGAAAGAGAAAATGTTCCGCGTCGATTTTGTGTAAATGTTTCCCTCTCATACGCGAGAAATCTATTTTTGACTCTCGTCACGAAAACAAAAATACAAATATGATCCGCGCGTACACTCGGGGCTATTATGTTTCCAACGTAAATTTAGGCACTAGTCGAATAATATGAAATATACGCTTCGGTATATGTGATGCGCGAGTTCACAGGTTAAGGCATTAACGACCCCACACGTAGGTACGCGCGGGAAAAGGAGAGAAGGGAGGATTTCGTCATCTTTTTCCAAACTTCTCCGATTTCTCGGAGATCCCTCCCTTTTCGAACGCAGGATCACGCGATGCATAGGGTGTCGTAACAAGCGCGAACTCGCGTGCAACTGTCACGTGTTGTGGACGCACGAAAAGTGGGAGAGGGAGAGAGAGAGAGAGATAGTGGGAGTACGGAAGGTAGGCTAGGCGCTGGAAAGAGCGCGACGCACATATACACATATATATATACATATATGTATAAACGAAATAATGCTAGAGCGTATACGTCTAACGTCTATACGTCAGTCGGCCTCCATCGCGCGCGCGTCATCGTCGGGTCGTGCTGCGTCGTGCAAAACGGCGCACAAAGCGCATCGTTCCGCAGCTTCCTCGCGAAATCCGTGTCGACCGTCGGCCTCGAGCCGTCCGCCGCCGTCAACCGCGTCAACGTCGCGATCGTCGTCGACGTCGTCGAGACGCAGTCTCATATTTCATATTCTCGAGGAACGAGGCAACGAGGCGCGCGGAGACAAAGAGACGTGCGTGCGGGCGTCCTGGCGCAGGTACACGGGTAGACAGTGGAGAGAGAGAGAGGGGGAGAGAGAAAGAAAGGAGAGAATAGCATCGCCGAAGTGTGTATATATCGGTGGTCCACTAGGACACTAGTGACTAGTGACGGCATGACGGGGGTGTGTTGCTCCTCGTTCCTCGACCAACAGCTGTAGCCGCAACTTGGTCTTTCTCCGCCTCGCTTCTACGCTCCATTCTTTCCCTGTATCCCACCCCCGCCCCGCCCCGACAGCGGCAGTGGCAGCGGCAGCAGCTGAAGAAGACCCTCGGCAGAGCTGGACAGAGCCACGGAGCATACGTCGTCGCATTGCGTCGCACGTCGCACGTCGCACTCGCTGAACTCGCTCTAGAGACCAGTAGAGACTGTCACGACTCACGCGTGCTATTAATATACTCCTCCGTAGTGCAGTGTACAGTTGTCCACGTCCACGATCGTCTTTGCGTCTTTCGAGCGTGGAACGCTTGCCATGCAGGACGGCGAGTAGCCGAGGCGAAGAACCGGAGGAGACTAGGAGAGAGACACGGTGACGCGCCACTAGAGAACGAGGGCGAGGGGAGAAGGAGCGTCGTCGCGCATCGTGCACGCTGGACGACCGCCGTCGACGCCGCCACCGACGACTACGACGACGACGACGAGCGACGTGCCCGCGATCCGAGGAGCATGGAGCGACTCTGGGCGCGGGACCGACTCCTGGCCGGTCGCCGGGTCGTGATACGGGCCACGGAGCTCCTGTGGGACGTGTGCTGCTGGATGTATCGTCGGGCGATGGAAATTCGGGTCGGCCCGGTCCCGGTCGGCCGCGATAACGCCGATGGCGACGCGGCGCCGCCGACGTCGTTGTCCCCGGAGGAGACGTCCGCGTCGCGCGGCCCCGACTCGGTGTGCCGCGGCGGGACCGCGGGGTGCCGGAGCGAGGTGTGCCGCTACTGCCGCGCCGTGGAGAAGACGCTGCTCTGGGAGAACTTGACCGTCATCGTCAAATCCCCCAGCCTGCACATCCTGATCCTGTTGAACGTGGTGTGGTGGTAAGTCGGACCTGGTGCGCACGCGCGCGCACAGTGGCACGGTGTGCCTCCCGTTGTTCCAAAATCTTCGCTCCCTTCGACCTTCGACCGCGTTACAAAGGCGGGGGGGAAAAAAAACAAAAAGAGGCCGTTCCGTTCTTTCGACACTCCCGCGCTCGCCTTTCGTCCGTCGGATGCAGTCAGATGTTTCTCGAGTGCTCCACTCGTTGCGTCATTCGTCTTTTTGTTCCTCGGTGATCGAACAACACTTTTGTCTCTCGTTACAATCGAACGTGATTTTTTTTACTTTGTTGAGGGTTCGAACTGTTCCACTACTTCCACTGTTCGAAGAAGGAAGATTCGGGAAACATCGCACTATCGAAAGCGTTCTCCGCTCTTTTCTCCTGCCTCCTTCCCTTCTCTCGCGTTTAAAAGGCTCCGCGGTTAAAGGGCACCATCTTTCGGCGCGTTTAAAGGACAATTAACGTGCCGTTGCCCAAGTCAGTCTCCTCTCGCGACTCTTGTCACGTTTCTTAAATTCTTATTTTATCTCGGTTACATTATCGCGCCACGGTTATCTCCGTCGCGCCGCGCCGCGCCGCGTCTTGCCAGTTCCCGTCTTGTTGACGTGTTTTGCATCTTGCTGTGCACATCGTGCACGCGTGCATTGGATTTCGCGACGTGACGCGCCGCGTGCCGCGCCTCCGGCTGCCCGTGACGTCACGCAGCACGCAGTGGACAGTGGCGCGCTGCGCGCCGCCGGCCGCGGCGTTACAGCTGTTTTACGTTTCGTGTGCAAGAGTAACTTCGCCTTCTAGGTCAAGGCCCCCCTATCCGAACGAACGAACGAACGCTCGTGGGGATCTCGCGCGATACGCACATATGCATGCACGCACACACCCGCAAGAATGTACACGTACGCGTACACGTGCACCCGCGCCCGCAGTCATCAATACGCGTGTCGTAATCGCGCGCGCGCGCGCGTATGCGCGTGTTTGTAGTAAAAAGTGCGTAAAATGCGCGGCGTTATATCTCGACCAACGAGATAAACCCCGACGAGATTGTTCACGTCTGTTGTTTATGCATTGCGCGCGCGCCTGCTCCGGTACGTGGCGCGTTACGGAAATTCTCATCCCCATGTGCCATGTTTTTTTATTATTATTAGCTCCGTTATTAGCTTGCCTGACTTGCCTCTCGGTTGAGATCGGATTTCGACTACGATTAGCCCAAAGCGAGCGATTAACAGACGCTACCGATTATCGTCAAGAGAGCGACGCGTGACGAGTTGTTCATCCTTGCGCGATTTATAAATTTAAATAGCGTCGCGTACAAACGAAGGCGACAGACGACAGGCGACACGTGCGATTTTGCGCGTCGAAAGAACAAGAATCTCTTGTCGCGAGCTATTTATCCGCACGGCGAGATTGCCAAGTGAATAATGATTTTATAACAAGTATACATAATATGTGCGTAATGCATAATATAATATATCATAGTAAATAAATCAAAGTCCAGCAGGGAAACCTGAGACGTCTTTTTCAACCGGGATAGAACAGAAGTGGATGCGCAACGCGCAACGTGCCTGATGCACGAGTAAACTACTGACGTGTTTCGCGTTTCTTACGGAATTTATCACTGGATTGCCTCTCAGATATTTTTCTCGCGCGATATCTCATTTGCAAATATTGCGAATTTTCGAGGTGGGGAGTAACCAGAGCCTTGATAATTCTGTCGAAGGGAACGACGTGCAAAGGATAAATTTTTCTTACAATTCACATAATTTTTCGGAATTTTTATATTAATTTTTGAATTTTTTACTATTTTAATTTAATTTTACTAACTTTAGAAACTTTCTCAAATTTTTTGCGACGTGAAACATTTTTCAAAAGTATATTGAGAGAGTCTACATCTTTTCTAGAATTAATTCTTTATACACATGAACTCTATAAGAATATTTTACGACTTCTCATTCTATAATTTTCGAAGGAAACTTATGAAATCTGAAGAAATTTGATATTTTGTGTAGAAATCTTCATAACGTTGAAATATGGAAAATTCCTACTTCCTTTATGGGATGCTATGACTTTTTTTCACCGGTGAAAATGAAAGGAAATTCTCCATAATTTTAGATAAACGTGAAAGCAGTTAAACTTCGCTCTAAAAGGGTGTAAATTTTTTTGTTTTCCATAATGGATAAAAAAATCCTTATAATATTGCACAAGGTTTTTAAGAATTTTTTATATTTTATATTCATGAAGATTTCTAAAGAAATATAACCCTAATCCCTCCAACGTTTTTTCCGCCATTTAATCAACGAGATTTTGACTGTTTGCCGTTTCGAGAGTAAATGAGCTAGGACTCTGAAATTTCTACCTGATGTGTTCCCTACTATAAAAACTTTTTTTAGGGAAAGGAAGGATTATACCACGGCCGTTGGTTTTCCGGAACAAACGACCGGAACACGTGTTTCTCACGACGTTAGAAACACGTGGAACACGAAAGTGCCTGTTTGGAGAGATTAGGGATAATTTTAATTATTTTCTTTGGACAAATTCTTAGGACAAACTTTTCAAGTCTGTTGATTGGAAGTTCTCGAGTCTCCAGAGAAATTCTCTATTTTGTGTAGCCAATAAATACTTGTAAATTAAATTTCCTAAAAATTAGTTATACGACGAATGAGATAGCATTCTTATTGTTAGATCTCAAAGCCCCTTACACGTTTTCTACGGGGAGGACGGAGAGTGAACGGAGATACTCCGATCGTTTACCGTTACCATTGTTTTCGCGGAACCTACAACTTACGACACGTTGTTGCTCGTTGCAGGACCTACGACTTGTGGGGGATACCGGCATCGCCGATACTATTAAAATTTCTCGACGTATATTTTGTTATCCAAGTAATGACCGCTTTCAATTTCATGGACATGGGCGCCCCAGCAGCGTAAGTTACCGAAAGAAAACTACATTTGCATGTTATTGCGTCGTTGTCGTTGTCGTGCACTTACGTACGTACATCCCGCTGAATAACAATTCGAATCATCGAGCTAATTCGCTGAATAACGCGCGTAATATTTCCATCGTCAAATTATTCCCGACGTAGTTTTATCTCGTCGTTTGCTTATTGACGGTAAAACAAATTGTTAACAAAACTCGATAAACAAAATTCCGTATTCCGTACTTAACATAATCTCGATCTCGTATTGAAAAGAATTTACATAATAAAAACAACAGTAATCTCGAGTTTTTACAAATGCATTTTAGGGAGCGTAGCTTTGGTGGTAGGGTACGTAGTAGTCTTCGCCGGCTGTGGAAAAGCCTGCGGAAGATGCGGAGCGAGCAACCAGGATTGGTAAGAGAATCCTTCTGTCGTCTCGCAAGGAAGGAATCTTATAGGAAAAGTTTGAGAATTTTATTTTTACAATTTTTCAGCATTGCGCCGTCCTTTGTCTCGTGGCCTTCGGCCTATGGTTCCTCGCTCACCTCAATTTGTCAACGCTTTGCACGATATATTGGGGCGGTGTACTGGTAATCCTGATACTGCATCTATTACACCTAAAACTGCCTGACAAAGTATCGGAGTACTTCAAGTCGCAGAGAGGTATAATCGAAAGCATCAAGAATTTCCCTGAGAAAAAGACTGATATCTCGAAGATTAAACGTAAACTGTTTTATTTAGATCTAATTTAACTTTAACGAAACGATCTAATTTAACGAAAATGAACGTTGTTGAAAGTTATCTTATATCTTTCTTTTCTGAGCTTTACCGACATCAAACTCGAATCTTTATTCAAATCTTTTTATATACATATAATTTAATGCGACGATACATCGCCGTATAACATTTTGAAGATATATATTTATGCTTCCTTTTACTTCTTTTTTAGACTGGCAATGCAACAGCGAAATCGAGGATGAATTTTTACCTATAGTGACAGAGGCGAATCTGCAGGTGCTGAATCGAGTGGGAGAGACGGGCGATCATTCGCCAACGCCGACGAGCGTGCGGTCGGACACTCAGAACGGTATTGAGACAAACTTATTTTTAAATTCATTAAAAATGTAAATTCGCGGTTCGGATGTTTTTGTTTAACATTTAGAGTTTAAAGTTTAGAGAGATAAGCGATTCTGCATACCTCTGCATATTTATTGCCTTATTTGTTGCTCGATAATTTAAACTATGTATTTAAAGAATAAACTCGTTTGATTTCTCATCCACCACGCGATGCTCTCCGTCCTTACATCTCGTCGCGTTGCTTGCAGATTCTTTTTACGAGGATTTCATAGAGGGTCTCCAGGAGATAGCGTTCAATATGCCCTACCACGGTGAAGGTAGCACCGACGGTGTCGAGCTATCGGAGTTGGAACTCAGCGTCGGCGAGAACGACGCCGAAGAGGACGGCATAAAGTTTCAGGCCGGTCACTTCGAGAAGAGCTCGTCGTCTTCTTCCGAGGAGGAAGTCTTCGACGGGAAGAAAATAATCGCGGTCAGCAGCGACGAGAGCAACGGCGATAGTGACTTCGAGATAATCGACAAGGAGGAAATAGCCAAGATAGAGATGTGATGAAGCTCGACCGGTGTAAGAAAATGAGAGATTATCGCGTGCGATTAAGTTATCATGTAAAACTAGAAGAAAACCATCTATGATCTCTGCACGCGGCCGCGAATGAAATAAAAAAGTTAAATCGAGCTACGAGATAAACAATAGCGACTTCGCTTGAAACTTGTGTACGTGTTTCTCGGCCGAATGTGATGGTAAATTGAAATAAATAAGATGATATATCGTTTAAGTCACACTACTGTCTCCCGATCGCAACGTTGTACCCGTGCGCGTACAAAGTATCGATCTTGGTCGGAAAGCGCGAAGATAAAAGCAAAATTTATTTATTTAGACGAATTCAGTCGAACGCCCGTATTCTTCCTTCTCCACCGCTTCTAATTTTGCGCCACTCTCCTAGTGTAAAAGAAGTAACGAAGAGTAGATGGGCGGGGATTTGAGAATAAGGGGATTCAACTGTAGATACATATATATGTACAATATGATACCACTGGTTACTGTATTTAGTGTCATGGATGATAAGTAAGCGTATGTACATTTGCAATGTAATAAATATGCACCTGTGTACAAACGTTTTAACCCGAAGAGTCAGTTTCGTTTGACCTACGTGCTGTGATTAAGCACGTTGCAACGGCGTTGTATGACGGTAAGGACGCGAAAGGTACCTAATACGATCAATAAAAGCTGCACTCCGGTAGCATAAACAACAAACATTTTAGATGTGTAAGAATGTATTATATTGTAACATGTGTCCGTGAGATGTGTAAAAAAAAAACAATGCGCGAGAAGATATTGACGAGATGTTTGTCGAGTCTGACGCATTTTTGTAGCCCGTTTATAATTGATGTTTGCCGTCTTGCTCCTGTCTACGCATCTCGTATATTTGAAAATACACGACAGACGATACAAAAATATACTGTTGTTATTTATATGTATGTACACGATCTTACCTTGCACGCAGTGGCGTAACTGCAAATTTTCGACAATCTTAGAAATGAAACGATAAAATAGACTCTTTAATCTCTGCAGTATTCGCGAAATAGCAAAAAGGATTAACGTCGAGATAAAATAGACATTTTAGAAATGTTATTAAGATTATAATTTATATTTGGATAAAAAATCTCATTCATTAAATGTCCTATATTTTGATTTTTTGTATAAATATTATATATATATATATACACATTTTTCAAAAATTTTTTTCCCTTTTGCACGTCGCGAATTCTCACACGATTTACTTGCGTTTTTGGTATTAATTGTATCACTGTTCGCGGGGATTTACGTTACACATGAATTCTCATTTACGATTTCCTTCGAGTCCGCGTTACATTCAGGTCTGCTATCGCTCTCCTCATTGCAAGCATCTTTTACAATCGTCACTGTATTATTTACATCAATCGACACTGTATTATTTACATCAATTGACACGGTATTATTTACATCAACTGGTACTGTATTGCTTATATCAATCGGCACTGCACTATTTACATCAGGTTTCAGATCTTGCAATTCATCCTCTTTGGATTGTATAGGAACGATCGGTCGTGCGTTCTTCCTTTCCGGCAACACTTTCAGAAACACTTCTTGCCAAGTATCGCCCTCAGAGATTTTGAGCAGTATCTCGAAGACTGGAAAGGTCCAATAATTTCTTTAATATGTAAATCTCAACGCGTAACTCGTCTATCGTCGAAATTTGATTCAAAGCAATTTATATGTCTATTCAAAATACAAAAATACCAAAGCAGGTTTAAGTAATTTTACACATTTATCACTTGTTTGTCAAAAAAATAATCAAACATTGGAGATGCTCATAGAAAGCAATATTATAATTGCTTTGAAAAAAATTTAATAGTTGACAATACTTACCGTGATCAATGGTCAACACTTTTCTTGCTTCCATCTGCAGGAACTTGTCTAATGGTAGTCGGCCGTGCCTGACACCTGCCTCTACTGCTAATTTGTGGCACATACCCTATGATTTAAATTTTTGGTAGAGAAAGAGAGAGAGAGAGACGACTAGCTAAAAAGATTTTACCTTATGTGCGTTGTGATCAACAAGACCACCTATAACGTATACGCAATCGTGTTCCAGACGTTCTATCACGTTTTTCGATTCACTCGTTAAGTATATGATTTTGTCTTTGGGATAAACGTTTATGTATGACTCCGCATGAAAGCTCACCTGTAATTTAGTGAAATTTAGATGTTTATCATTGATTTTTTAATCATAAAAAGTAAGAGGTTGCAATCACATACGTCCCAGTGCTCATATCCAATGTGCTTCTCCATGCTGGCTCGCGATTTACCGGTGAAACCAGTGAGGGAAAATTGCATGGGTGCGGCGGCTCTTCTATTCAAAGTATAGCACCTTAATATCTGTTTCGTTAGCTTGGCGATATCCTTATCGATCATTAGCTCATCGAATGACAAGTCGATGGTTACCGTGAGCGTGCAGGCACTCGCTGCCATAGTGCTTCTCTTTAAAAATTTTCTGGACGGACCTAGGCTCAAGTTATTCGCACGCGCGTACGCGCGCTTCTCCCTCGCTTTAATCCTTTCCCGTAACCTGCATCGACAAACATATCGAGTTAATGTACAAACATTGTTGAAAAGATTGCATAAATAAATTGTCTTCCGCGTAAAAAAAGCACGTGATGTAAAAATTATTAAAATAAAGAATTAGCATAATAAAAGACGTAAAAATTGCATATGGATTTTTTTTAATAACTAAGGAGATTTATTTCAGACGGTTCGAAATAAAAAAATGCGACGAAGTCATCTTGATTTATAAAGTTTCGTACGTCGCTGCCGCGTGACATCAGGAGTTCCTAACCTCTTCTCGCTCCTTTGCTCCAGCCACTTCTTCCTCTTCTGCAATCTTTTCAATTGACGCTTGCTCATACTCGTCGGTGGTTCGGGCAACTCATCTGCCACTACAATCGTCTTGTCTTCCGTAGAATTTACGTCGTCCATATCGTGAAATAATTAATTTTCCCCCGGCGCGAGCCACATGAATCGTGCTAGATCCAACTTGTTAACCTTTTCTCTCTTTTGCTTCTTTCTTTCGAATTTCTGTCTAGGAAACGCGCGGAGTTTTTAATCTGCATTTAGCTGATAATTATATGTCTACGACAGCATTGATTTTAAGCAGTAGATATTTAATTTGCTTTTCTCAAATTGTCACGTGTAGACGTCGTCTGTTGCACCATGCTCAAAGCTGCTCTGAGCTGCTCAAAGCTCAAAGCTCAAATCCAACCAAAAAGATTGAAATTTAAAATGCCATTGGTCAAATAATTAGAAAAGTAGAGATACGCCACTTGGCGACGATGTTGAGAACTAACAATAAACCATCAAGTTTTTTATCTCGCGCCGTCTGGCGAACAGAAACCTTGTAACGCGCGAAAATTCGAATATCGATTTTATTGATCGCTACCGGCGCCTATTAAATCATGTAAAATTATATACGTATGTTTAGAATGCAGCATCGTGAGCAATTTCTCTTACATCTGTTTTTACTTAATAACTTTCTCTCATGAATTATACGTACGTGTGTATGTATATATATGTTATACATACATATATGCCTAAGCGCAGGCTGCTGTGGGCTGCTGTGGCTGCGCAGGCAGCTCCGTCTGCCGTCGTAACCTCACCTCACCGAGCGGCGAGCAGCTCGAGATCGAGAGTTTACCGCCATGACCCGCTGATCGGCACCGCTGAGTTATCAATATTCAAGGATTGGCGAGCTTCGTGTGCGCGATTGTTTACGTCGCTCGTTATGGAATGGTATAATACGTCGGTGCTCGAGAAATACGGTCGTCGCAGTATACGAGAGCCCTTTCAGTCGGTCAGAATGGCTCGATGTTAACCATTAAAGCAAGCACAAGAGGGGACCGTATCAACGCCGCGGCGCCGTTTCCTTATCAAGCATGTGAGCCTTCTTCTGGATTCACATTGCGACGTCACGCATATATACACAGAGAGAAAAAGATATCTGCATATGCATATATGTGTTGTGTATATATATATGTATATATAGATGACTGTAAATAATGGTGTTTTGGGCCGTTGTTTATTCGCTGGCGTTATTCCTGCGCTTCGGTTCCCTACAAGCAAGTACGTATATCTGCGTCGCTGTAACCATCATATATAATTGACGTATAAATGTAAATTAATGATACAAGCTTGTTTGATATTCCTATCTTTCTACGTCTCACCCTAGAGCCAGAGTCGCAAGGTTACTGCGCCCCATACAGCGGCAAGATATGCAAGAAGTACCTCAGTGGCATCGGGAAGGTATGGTTTAACGACTCCAATGACAATCCTGGAGGATGGCTGAACGAGAAGATCACAGCGAACCTCTGGGAAGAGCTGATAGAGAGGCTACTGGAGCCATGTCGCTCAGCTGCAGAGGTGCGATGTCTCAAAAAAAGGAAACTTTAAGATACCTTTAAAATGACCTTACAAAAGTTTTAAAACAGTTTTAAAATATTTTTGAGAAAGCTTTGAAATAACCTTAGGAAACCAAATCAGAACTGACATGGAGAAATATTGTTTTCATCTTTCTTTCTTTTTTTGTGCAGAAAATGCTCTGCATGTATGCGTTTCCCCTGTGTCACGAATCTACAGGCCTACCCCTCTGCTACGAAGACTGCATGGCTGTACGTCAACAATTCTGCTTCAACGACTGGGCGATTATTGAGGACAACAAGCAGAGAGACATTTACATTCGCTCACGTGGACACTTTGTGCTACCGGAATGCGAGAGTTTGCCCAAAGTGAACAAGGAGACACCTACTTGTTCGCACGTACACCTGACTGACATGGACGACGAGGTCGTCACTTGTAAGTTACCATGTTTTTCAGATAAACGCCAAAAACATAATTGAATTGCAAGATCAATTAATTGGATAATGTTGATTGATTTTCGTAGACGATTGCATCAAAGACAAAGGTAGATTCTACATGGGGAAGGTCAACAAGACCAAATACGGTTTAGACTGCCAATCGTGGAGCGTGCAGATACCGCATAGTCACGATAAGCCGCCCGACGTCTTCCCGCAGATCCGTCAGGGTGAAAATTACTGCAGAAACGCGGGCGGCGACGAGCCGATGCCGTGGTGCTTCACAACCGATCCTTCAATACGCTGGCAACATTGCGATATTCCTGTATGTGGTAAGTACAATCACGATATACTAAATATTCTTAATATATAAATTACATTAATAATTTTAATAATTCCTCTTCTCTCTTACGTTAACGGTAATACGTTACAATTTAAAAATATAATTGAAACATTTATATCACGTGTGTTTTTTTTGGTTCAGATAATGTTACAACTAAAGTGGAAATCGAACCAAAAGACATAATGATGGACACTCTATTTAATAACACCCTGGTACTCATCCTGGCAGCGTTGGGATTTGTAATTGTAGCCGGTGCGCTATTGTCTATCCTGCTGAGTCAAAGACTGCACAAACGTCATCGAGGGTACAATCCGACCGATAATCAAGTACGTTTATTAATCGATAAAATCGATTTTGTAAAAAAAAATGTTTAAAATTACCAAGAAAAAAGTATTGAGAACAATTTGATCAAGTTTAATCGATATTTGTGTGTAATTAAATAATAATACTTTTTAAATTATCTATATATAAAATTAATTGTTTTAAAATTATTTTAATAAATATATTTTATCTTTATTCATATTTACATTTTGATTATCTACTGTTCCAATTCTTCTTCCGACGACGTTACGATTTTCAAACATTTTTCCTCTTTGCAGGACGTGAACATCGATCTAGATAAGTTGCCGAACAACGAAGCGTATCACAAAACGAGCGCGCAGTTGAATCCCAAGTTGGAGAAGCTGGAGTTCCCGCGGAACAACATCATCTACATGCGAGATCTAGGTCAGGGGGCGTTTGGCCGCGTGTTCCAGGCGAAAGCGCCGGGACTGGTCGCGGGCGAGGAGTTCACAAACGTCGCCGTGAAGATGCTGAAAGAGGAGGCATCGGATGACCTGTTGCGGGACTTCGAGCGGGAGGCGTGCCTACTCGCCGAGTTTGATCATCCGAACATCGTGAAGCTGCTGGGCGTGTGCGCGCTTGGACGGCCGATGTGCCTGCTGTTCGAGTACATGGGTCGCGGCGATCTCAACGAGTTTTTGCGCTCTTGTTCGCCCAGCAATTATGTCATCCGTGTGCCCAGCGCGGACGAGGGTGGCCCAACGACGAGCGAGCCCTCGCACCTCTCGCACATGGATCTGATCAACATTGCGGTGCAAGTGGCATCCGGCATGGTGTATCTATCCGACCGGAAGTTCGTTCACCGCGATCTAGCAACGCGCAACTGCCTGATAAATGACCAGATGATCGTCAAGATCGCCGACTTCGGCCTGTCGCAGAAGATATACTTACAGGATTATTATAAAGGTTGTCATTTTCTCCTTATTTTTATCGTTTAGAGTGTTATTTTTAGATTTTATGGTAGAAAACAGTCGAGCTTCGAAATTTATTCGACAGTTGCTTCCAATTTTCAAGTACACTCTTTCACTTCCTTTATATTCAAAATTTGTAATTATTATCTTTCAAGTTTCATATCTTTTCACGTAACGCCACTTGTACCCTTTTCACGGAAATTTGGAACTTTAATCGTCATATTACTCATATTTCTGATAATGCAGGGGACGAGCAGGACGCCATCCCCGTCAGATGGATGCCACTGGAGAGTATACTCTACAACAAGTATACCGTCGAGTCGGACGTGTGGGCGTTCGCCGTGTGTCTCTGGGAGATCTTCAGCTTCGCGCTGCAGCCGTACTACGGGATGACGCACGAGGAGGTAGTCAAGTATATCAAGGAGGGCAACGTGCTGCGCTGCCCGGACAATACCCCGCAGTCGATCTACGATCTGATGAAGCTCTGCTGGAATAGGCGGCCGTCCGATCGGCCTACCTTCCGCACGATCTATCAAACTCTCGACAGCATCAAGCAGGATTTGGAGGCGGAATGTAAGTCGGACAGCGTCCCGCTACGCATTCGCGTATGAATGTAATAATAATGGGTAATAATCGATATTTCTCTTTCTCTTTCACACTTTCGCATAGCGTGAAATTTGTACAATTTGAAAGAAAAGAAAAATAGAATTGTTTTTGTTTATTTTTCTCGAAAATGATGCCTCTTAATGAGAAAGATTTATTTTTATATATTCGGCTTGTTTCTTCGCAAGAAATCACGCTCTTTTTTATTATAATGAGCACGCGGATACTTTGTATAAATAATCATGAAATTGATACGCGGAATTACACGTTATGCTTTTATTTGTGTGCAACTAAACAGAATGTTGTTCTTCTGGATCGGACAAATTTCACCCTGCGCGACGATCAATTAAGAGTAAGAAACATCACTTTGTGTGTACCTACTACTTACTCTTTGATTACCTTTCCAGCTAAGTAACTTAATATTGTATATCATGAGTGTGATGTGGAATGCCTGCCTTCTTAGTTGGATCCGCTTCGATACTGAATCAATTATCAGTTGCGAGAAGTGAGAAAAGGACCAATGTATAAAACGGAGGCGCGATATATTACACGTTAATTTCATCTTCTATTTCGTCTAAAAATTAATGTAGCCCGATAGGGCTACAATACTGCTAATTTATCTTCTGAATACCGCTCGAGGAGATTTTCACGCTTGTTTTTACTGGGCAGCGATCGCGTAACTTTTCCCTTAGGACGGATACGTGAAAAATTAACATTTTCACGTGAACTCGTGATCATGTAACTCGACGAAACGTGGAAACGTGATCTCGTCGATAATAAAAAAAAAGTTAACGCAGAATGGATAGAGCGCAAAGTGAAAAATTTTACGTGAAATTACGTGATCGATCCCCTGTTCGATTAGTTTCCAATTATCCCCAATTAGGGCTGCCACTTCTCTGGTTTTTGGAAACTCTTATCCTCCTGGTTTTTGCTCTCTCTAGCATAAATTTATAAAGATCTATATAATATTTTTAAACGCATCTGCGAATCGTTTAATCTTTTTTCACTAAACTTTTCTTTCACTAAACTTTTTTCACTGGCTTGCTTTATGCATTGTTTTCTTTCGTTGTTTTCTAATATTGTTCCGTAATCTTGACATTACGCGGAAACGTGGCGGTCCTAATTACCGCGTCCGAATTCAAGTAACGCTTATTTGCGAGTAAAGCACTGTCGAGTCTGTACAAATAGTATAAATGCGGTGTGGCTATAAAAGCGCATTTAGCGACGTTATATTTAGAGGCTCCTTGATTGTTAGACGTGTGTTAGGTTGTTAGGTCGTTTGCTGTACCAAAAAAAAAGGAAAAAGACATAAATAATACCTATATTTAATGTGCTAAGATTAACGGGAAAAGAATTATGAGGAATGTTAAGCGAAAGCGAATCATTGAATGAATGTATACTACGGACTTGTTGTAAATTAAGCAAGAACAAAGGCGCGTCGCGATTTCCTCTTACAGACACAAGCTGGATTTATTGCGAATTTGCGTAATTTTAAGTTATACCCAGCGTTTGCGTCGCGCGTGATCTTGTTTGAATATACTATTGTTTAATTCCTAACACGTACCTCACGAGGGTACAAAGGAGATTAATCGTGTGTGAGATTAACGTGTGTTAGTGCGTCACGAATACGGGAGAATATCCCACAGAAAGAGCTAATCGCGCCCGTTTAGTTGTCTCTTATTTAGTAGCTCGCGATTTTCGACTTGCTGACTGCCTTGTTAGGAAGATAATTCGCCGTTTCGTTTTACCTGCTGTGATTTTAGCGAAACGCACCGACTGAATAGCCACCTCATCACTGCCGCAATTACATTCCAGGAAGCATTTACTGTTAAGCAGCGTATGCTACGAGGAATCGTTCAATGCTGCAAATATATACAACGAACGTTTCTTCTTTTGTTTTTTTTTAAGTATTTTTTATCCGGTGTTTAAGGATATACATAGACTGCACGTAACAATAACTCTTCGTTTTCGTCGCTTTTATTTCAGCGAGTAATATTAATTAACGCCGTTTCGCGCGTTTCAACTGATCATCGAAAACGAGAAAAAATACGGTACGCTTCTGTCAGTTTGGGAGTAAGATATTTTCGCCCCTACCGGAAATGAAGACTGCTATCGCGACCCCTTCTCATGATACCACGTGTGTCGTCGTGCCGAGGACAAAATTAAAGAGCTCATTTCCAAAACGTCTCGGATATGTATCTTCGAAGAAGATCACGTATTACAAAACTAGATTTTTGCCTACAAAAGAGGCTCCAAGACGTTCTGGACACAGGTCCACTCTCGATTGACGATTGACGATCTTCCACATATATATACATATACACACAAACATACACACGAACCTTTTTATATTGTATATTTGTATTCTGTGTAAGTAGTACCGTACGCGGGTGTTCAGAGTTTTCACAAAAAGAAGAAAAGAAAAGAGCACTTTAGTAAGCAAATAATTACCTATAGGTGTCATTAAAGTGTCAAGAAAAAGAACACGAGTTGTATACAAGACGGTCGTCTAGCTGAGATGCTACTTATACCGTAATATCAGTTTCTTATCAATAAAACGCAGAATTATTCCAACAGCCAACGCTAATCTTGGACTTATGGCTTATTCTATTTTATAGACTTCAATCAATAAGCTGTAATTTTTTGCTTTATTTTGAATTCACGTTCATTGTTCTCTTAGTGTAACATCGTACTACAAGAGAAAAAAATGAACAAATGCCTTTCGGTCGATCCGATATACTTCCTGAAATGTATGTACATGCGTACATGCTTTTTTTGTGAAAATTCTAAATCATGTTATCAGTGCGACAAGCGCGTATGCGTCCGTGACCAACAAAAAAAATTTACTGCCACTACATGTATACCTGTTGGGTTCGTACATAATTGCCGATATCGACGCGAACCCCATTCTTCGGTGATTGACGTGAATACGACGGCAACCCGACGACGTAACGTAACTCATGCGAATTCTTCCAGCAGATAATCGGTGTAATGATTTTTGTAAATAATCGATAATGTGTCTATCACGAGTCTCTGTACCGCTGACAATACCGTTTATATACCTATATTTCTACTGTATTACATAATACCCAGCTGTACCGTTCAGATCGCTCTTTCCGTTGTAGACTCTAATTGTGTCACGCTAAATCCAATAATCGGTCTAACTGTACTACGAACGCCTCGAGAAAAAATATGAAACTCTATCCCGATGTGTGCAACCTTGGCAAGAAATAAACAACCAATTTCGTATTACTCCGAATTATTTTCTCCACTACTCTATTGCGCCTTGTGTCGCATATAAGATATCTGAACATCCTTCAGGATTCTAGGAATTGATTGTCGCTTAAATTAAAACTATATGTAATGTGTTATATTAATTATTCTAATAGGGAAATTGCCTAGGAATGTTATAATTAACGTCGTTCCTTGCATCATAAGTATATTTTCTGTAACCATATGTGCTTTCCTCTATCCGTTTTTCTATCTGCTTATATAGAACTAATCTAAAATAATTCATTTTTTTTTTTATAAAAAGCAGGTTTGGGGGGTTTGCACATCTCGTATATACATATTACATTATCGCTAATTTACGTGTTTACATATACATAAAACGCCTTACGATATAAACAGTGCTCAGTGCAAGTCTCTAGTTGCGATTATAATATTACGTATCTCTTTGGTACGCTTCCTCCTTTCATAAATGCATCATAAATATAGTGATACTTGGCGCAAATGTTCAAAATATGGAATGGCTCTTTTTCGAAGTGACTAGCTTCGATTCAGTTCTTGCATCTTTAACACGTCAGGCAATGCGTTGCATTTACATCTGTACTGCGGTGGAAAATATCTCGATAGATACAATATAGATTTCGATTAGGGTTTAATTAAAATATGCAAATTATATGTATATATATTACCTATCGTTCAACAAGCAAAAACAAAAGCACATTTGTACATTTACAACTCATCTATACAAATACTGATGATGCCTTAGAAAGTAAATAATCATTACACCTATTAGTTATTGCAATTCAACTCTCTAAATGCATTTGATATAGTGAACACTTAGGGGACTCTAAAAAAAGAAATGTTTTTGCGATATCGATACTTTAAACGGTTCTTTACGTGTTCGTATACAGCGTGAGTTTCTAAAAACGGAGCACTTAAATATTTCTCTTGGATTAAAAGTACCAAGAAAATGTTATAAGATATTGAGTCAAATAGTTTTAAAAATTCAATTTACATTTAGTAGAAACGTTATTTCAATAGAAATTAATGACTTTGATAACTCTGAAAGAGCTCAACACATTCGAGCGTTTGTATTTAAATTACTTTCACATCTCTCAACGCGTTTCTGAACTCGAGAGAACTAATTAAGTATTCTATTTTTAGTGACTCTACTTGCATACCGTTGTCCCTCACTTGTACATATTGGCTTATGTTACAGAAAATACTGAAAGTATATATACGGTTTACATCCTACATTGTCATTTGCATGAGACGATAATGACAAGATTGTACAATCAAAATGCGTCCTTTATATTCTGAAACTGTCGCACCGCCAAGTCCACCGGCAAATCGAACTTGTAACTGGTAAGGCGATCCAAGGTGTGAAACGCGTCTTGGAAACCTGGAAGTTTCGTTATGAAAAATGCAATTCCACTTTGCGGTATTAATTATTCTAGTTGTGACGTACCTGTCTTTACAACGTAGCTCCACGAAAGGTAATAATTTTCCAGGAGATACTGGCATTGCAGAATCAACTTTAACCATATCACGAGTTTATTTGCGCTGAAAATGACGGTTATTCACCAAATTAGTTGTTACTTATAATTAGCATAATTATATAACGAATAGTCAATTTTGATAGCTTGTGACTGCGACGCAATCGCATTATTACTCACTTCAAAGCTGCACATACGAATGCCTTGAAATGCGAGTCGTAACTTCGTTTGTATGGACTGTGAGAAGCGATGATGTTACCTATAGTCGTCAGTAAACTCTAAACGAACAAGACAAGAAGAAAAATTAAAACATATGAAGATACAATAGCAGTTCAGTTTGCAGAACGTCCAAGAAATTGTATAGAGGAGAATGGTCTTCGGAAATTATTACAACGATCAGAATTCTACTGTTATAGTTTCCTAGTCATTCTGATGCCTCGTCTGGAGGCAAAAATAGTCTACCTGTTTCGAGGAGGCTATTCTCCCGGCCGCGAGGTCCAGGTTGAAGCTCTGCGACAGCTTCTGCGCGGGGCTGGAATTGTAACGGCGTCCGTGTTTGATCTCATAGTATTTCAATATCAACTCCCAGGCGTGCATGAAATTCGTCGGCGTGATACCGCGCTGCGGGAAGCAGCCGACAAACGGCACCACGCTGGACCCGGAACGCAGCACATCCGCGGTCAGGCCGTGCTGCATGAGATCCCTGACCGAGGTGGCAAGATGCTTTCTCACGGCGGACGTGAGCTTCGCATTCGCGTGCGACGCCGAGTCCGAGTCGGACGTGTAATCGTTCTCATTGTCGTCGATATCATCAACATCCTCCTCGTCGTCGGCATGCCTCTGCTGCTGCTGCTGCTGCCGCGACGTTTCCGCGATCGTCTCGAGCACGTGCTCCACGGCGATGTCCAGTCGGGTACGCAGATCGCGCCAATTATGCACCGGGTTCTTACCGCCAAAGTTCCGTCGCATCCGTTCGCTGCCACAACCCAACTGCGACATCAGGAACATGTGCAAAAGCGCGACCACCTTACGCACGGTGTTCAAGGTCCTAGTTTGATTGGCGGCACCTGCTTCATCCTGGATGGGTCTCCCACGGTCAAAGCGCCGCTTGGAGCCAAAGGAGGCCGACGAGGTCCCGGAACCGCTGGCGTGTACCGGACACGCGCACGTACACGCTAAACTCTCCGTGCTGACTTCGCCTTGAAGGTAGTTTATGAAACGCTCCAGATCGGCGATCTGCGTCTTGAGTTGGGAGACCAGCTGCTCCTTCATCTTCAATGGGCTGACGATCTATCATATAATCATATCATGGATGTATGGATTGTTTCTCTCTCAGATGACAACAAATAGCGTGTTATGTAAATTATCCCAAAAGCACCGGATCCTTACTACCACAGTTCATTAAGTATTAATTTGACAATTATTTTTCTGTAGGAAGAATCGCTTTTTCAATCTTTGACACTATATTTCTGTAAGTGAATTCTGAATTAGACTCTTATTAAAGTCTACATATTATAAAATCAATTAAAGTATACAGTTTAATCTATTTTTCCTCTAGGAAACGTAGTTTGTTTCTTATTTTCGATCGTTAATTAATCGAAAATTATATGTATTTATCGATTAAGGAGAAGTTCATGTTTCAAATCAACAGAAGGACGTCCAATAGTTTTGGGAGTGTAGATCTCGAGATCGCTTTTAAACATACTTGACTTATGGCATAATCGACTTGCCACCTAAGATCGTCCGCCGGTAATTTGCACAGATCGTCGACGTCGAAGTTCAACTTCTCTTTCAAATGACCTGTGAACATCAGCGGTTGTTTTACTTTCCGTTCCCTTGCAATACAGATTTCTGATTACTGATTTCTTATAGCACTTACTGATTATAATATTTTGCCTCTCCAGAATAACGCTCTGCGGTAGATCGGCGTCGCCCGTCTCGTACGCGTATTTTTCCAGATCCTCCAACTGAGATTTCAACTGGCTTATCAGTTCTCTCTGTTTTGTTCGTTGCAATGCCATTTTGGATTCGACTTCCGCGTCAGCGATTACACCAGTCACCTACAGTTACGTTACATCCGACGCGATTAAAGAACTATCGAGAAATATCGAGCAGCTGTTAAATTAAATAAATTGCTGTGGAAAAACACTCCTCTACGCAATCGCGCTGTAGCTAAAAAAAGCTTAGAAAATTGCAACAAACAACACAAGCTATTATCCACGATCTAAATTAACTACGCATGGAGCAAAGGATCGGATGCGTGAAGGTATTAAAATAAAATGGATAAATAGAGAAAAAAATGTGTGGAAAACTTTTATTGCACATTTAGAGATAGTATAAAAGAGCAGAAGACATAAATATAATTTATATTTTAAACAAATAACACAAGATAAAAAAAGAATAAAATATAAAAACGCCTTAACAATGACTAGATGTAAGACAAACGATAAAAAAGCGTCAAAGCCACAAAAACGTTGCCAAACAAAGCGATAAAAAATGTCAAGGATATCACAAGGCAACAAGAACACCATAGAAAATTGGCTTATGCTGAAAAATTATGGAAAATTTGCTTTTCAGATGTGGCTTACATCATAGGATACGGGGGAGATTGGCGTGACAGATCCGCTCTCTAATAATAAGCTATTCGGAACGTCCGGTATTCCCCTAAATGCAAATTCCTCCAACTCCTTGAGCAACGTCTCCTTCTCGCTGGTTGGCGCATCCACGATTTGTCGAAGACGAAACTGAACCTGTACATACATGGATTTCATTAATTGACGAACAAGGAGGTGACGATTGCGAAGCAAATTCACTTTTGATCGTCTCACCTGAGCAAAGTGGGTGGTTAACGCTATCAAAGACGAGTTGAGCATCTCCTGTTCTTCCTCCAGCAGTTTCACCCTCTCCATGTCATACGCGAGGCTAGCAAAGAACAAGAATTATCTTATCTACAATGTTTGACAATTATTGAACGCAGCTTTGATACAGTCGTGTTTGTTTTTTGCTCAATAGAAAATCTTGATATTGAGCAATGTAATAGATAAAATTGTTACGAAGCAATTGCAATACGTAATGAACGAGTTAAAGCTCATGTTATTCTTTCAAAACATATGTTCTCGTGAGAATGGCTTATACTGGGCTTTACGGCAGAACATATGGTTCTTAGAAAAGAGCGAAAGGACGAAACTGGTACTTGGTCGACGTACTTCTCCACGTTGGCGTTGACGTATTTGTATTCGTCCGCGAACTCATTGTCGCCGTCGTTGGCGCCGACCGGGGCCCACCTCTCCCCGGACGGTCTGCTCTCGCTGCTCTCGTCCGAGTTCTCGACCTCGTCGCTCTCGCAGTGCCGCCGCCGCTCGCCGTCCATCGTCTCCTTGTCGTTGTCACACGCCGTCTCGCCTACCTCCTGCTCGGCAAGGAACAATACACAGGCATATTGATCAGCGGATCCGTCGTGTCGCGAGGCCGCGATACTCGCGGTTGTGTCGCGTCGTCCACGTATGTACGTACCATGACGAGGGGTTCCCGGCACGGCCCGCGCGGCCGTTCACCGTACGATTTGCCGATAATTCGAGCCGGAACGAGCGTCTAAATCCCAGACTCCTCTCTCATATCTGGACCATTGTTAATTGACCACCTGCGCACGTGTACGACCGAGACGCCCGCGCCCGCGTCACGGACGTCAGACGTCAGTGGTACAGGTCCGCGCAAAAGCGCGCACAGCGTGCTCCGCGATCGCTCAAACTCACAACCCACGGACTGGACTGGCACGGGCTCGCAATCGCATTCATGCGCGGACAGCTGACGACACGTCAAAAACACTTCCTTCAATCCTTCGTCGCACAATGCGCCGGGCAGGGACGATGCAGGGGGAAACGTAAAAGTGAGAGCGAGAGAGACAGCAGATAATGTGCATCTCTCTCCAAGAGCGAGAAAGACGACCGCTTGACGACCAATCAGCGCCTCCGAGTTCGAGCTCGAGTAATCGAATTGGAGCTTGGATTGGAGTAGGAGACTCGGATCGGACAGGATGGACAGGACAGATCGGACTCGGAGCTCGCGAGCGCTCGCAGCCCTCGCAGGTATCCCCGAACGTTGAAGGTTATGTCACTTGTGTAACATGGCGTCGAGCGAGAGTGGCGATTTTCAAAAGGTGTTGGAGTATCGGATTTACAAGTGCTCCAGTTATTCTTCCTGTTACATACCCGAGTGAGTGCCCCCGACGTCCGTAAGTCCATTCGTATCGTCGGAAAAACGGTCGGGGAACCCGTCGTCGACCGACCGCACGTTTCTAACCTAAAAACGGGAACGTTCCGCGGAAGCCGCCTCGCGCGTACGATATGCGTGTTAAAATCGCGACAGCGAGGTTTATTCGTTACCGTTCATACACCCCGAACATCTTTTTTTCAGAAATATTATCGTCGATATACCATCGGATCAGTCCTCGCGTTGGTCCTCCGACATCGACAATCACCCTCAGGTACGTATCGCACATCGCCGCTCCTCTCGTCGCGTCACTTACCTCGCCGATTGTGTGCGTTTCAGTTTCTCATCCTCAAGCTTCAAAGTCCTTCCGTCGTCAAGTACATTACTTTTGGCAAATATGAGAAAACCCATGTGTGTAATATAAAGAAATTCAAGATATTCGGCGGATTGGAACCTGAGAATATGATGGAACTCCTCGAAAGGTTTGCCGACGATTGCTCTCTCTCTCTCTCCACGTCCAATTGCTTCGTTTTTTACCTAACCAGAGAATGTTTCATTCGTTTCAGCGGACTGAGGAACGATTCCATCCCAGAGACATTCGATCTCAAGCATGTTTTGGGAAACGAAGGGAATTACTTTCCTATCCGATACATAAAGGTACTTCCGCTGCAGTCGTGGGGTCCCAGCTTCAACTTTTCTATATGGCACATCAAATTAACCGGTATCAATGACCCTAAGATCGTAAAGCCTTGTCTTGAGTGGTTCAATATGGTAAATGCGTCATCGAGCACACGAGATATAAAGCACTCTGAAGTGAAACTAATGGATCTTTCGTGTTGTAGTATCGGCAGAAGGAGATAATAAGACTGTGCATGAAACACTTTCGACAAATGGAACAGCCCGAAATCGTCGAGACTCTGCAGAGGGTCACCGGAGTCCCACTGGAGGATCCGCGATTGTCGACTCTTTACGATCTTTTGGTTACCAAAGGCGATCACCTGCAGGCGGAACGTTTTATCAGCAACGCGCTCACGAGTAAGTCTGATGACGTAAATTCCCCTTTGTCTCGTTTTACACAGCTATGACTCTTATACATTGTTGAATCCGCTTTTTAGTGGGGCTCTTAAACGATTATATCAATGCTCAAACTTATAGAGCAATTTGGACGAAGTTATCGTCTAGCGAGCCCAAACCTGGGATGCGGGGCGGTCATCAGATGGTGCTTGATCCCACGGCTGAGGTACTTTATCTCTTCGGTGGATGGGACGGTAATCAGGATCTCTCTGACCTATGGTCCTACGATATAGAAGCCGGCAAGTGGACGCTCATATGCAAGGATACTGAAGCGGTGGTCGGTAGTGTTTCTAATAAATGCGTTTTTAATCAATTTAATTCAACGCTACGACGTGGCCTGACATACCGCAATAATACGCAACTGAACTCTTATCTCTCCACTACATTGCACTACATATCTCGTCCCGACAGCGTGCAAACAATGTGTTTTGTTTATTCGATATTTCTTCTCTGTTGAAGATGTCGAGTAATATTTTGAGAAAACAGAATCATTAATGAGTTTCTTTACAAATAAAGCGGATTTTTTTTTAAGTACGATCGTAAGATACGAAATATATAGTTATATATTACAAAATGTGAAGAGATTTTAAATAAATATAAAATAAATTTCGCACTTATGTGTCTTGACGATTTTTTCGTGTCGCATCTTTGATAAGTAATTTAATTTAATTAAAAATGTTTTGTCTATACAAATTGTCAGATCACGTATGCCTACTCATTTTATTTTCACACCTATCGCGATCTGTAATTCCTAGGGAGGGCCGAGCGCACGTTCATGCCACAAGATGTGCTTAGACCCGCAGAGACGGCAGCTCTTTACATTGGGCAGGTACTTAGACACGCAGTATCGTACTTGCGAGAATTTGAAGAGCGACTTTTACGTTTACGATATCGAGTCGAATAAGTGGACGCAGATCTCGGAGGACACGGGAACGATGGGTGGGCCACCGCTCGTATTTGACCATCAGATGTCAATGGACGTGGAGAAGCGAACTATCTACGTTTTTGGTGGACGAGTACTGACTCATCCGAGTAGGTAAGTTACGTTAAAAAGAGAAAGAAAAGTAGCGATTTTGTGCGCTATCTTTCAATAATATTACTTTTACGTATGATTTCGAAACTTTTTATACCTCCTCCACCTTTCTCTGACATTATTCTTCCAATTTGCGCAGTGCCGACGAACATGGTTTAATACCGGAGCCGCATTTCTCAGGACTATACTCTTATCACGTGCCGACTGGCACCTGGGTCAGACTTGCCTGTGATATCGCCGATAAACCGTATTCAAGAGACATGCCGATTTACAGATCCCGCGCTGGCCACTCCATGTTGTTTCACCCGGTTGGTATTCTCATGCTCGACTTTATTTCTTTAACACGAGAGAAATAATAATAAACAAATCGGCAAACGCGTGAAGAGATATTTGAAAAGCGGGATCTTCTTGGATCTTTTAGCGGTCCAGAAAACTATACATATTCGCTGGACAGAGGGGCAAGGAATATCTGAGCGATTTCTTCACTTACGAAGTCGATACGCAGCACGTGGAGTATATAAGCTACAACGAGTTTGGCACTACGAAGGATTCTAATCACGTTCCCGCGGCCGGATTCACGCAGAGAGCGACCATCGATCCTGAACTCAACGAGATTTACGTTCTATCGGTTTGTATCTCACTTAGCGATCTGTAATTTGAACCGTAATTAATTAATATGAGAAATTTGTAATTATTATAGGAATCTTTTCACGATTATATGAATTATTTGTAAATGATTAATTTATTTTATTACTTGATATAACAATATATATATATATAACAATATTTTTTAGGGTTTGAGCAAGGACAAGGATAAGAGGGACGACAATGTGCAAAATTCCTTTTGGGTGTACAATATTCAAAACAGCAAATGGTCTTGTATATATCGTAACGAGAACGTCGGTGAAAAATACTGGAGTAAGATGCAAGATTACGAACCGTGCCCACGATTCGCGCACCAGCTTGTTTACGATCACACTAGAAAGGTACGTCGTGACAAATTCTGACAAATCTTTATTTGACATTTAAATAAATTCAAATTTTTATTATTGTATTAAATAAAATGAGTCCGTATTTGACGCTAGATTCAATAATATTTCGCAAATAATTTCCTCGTTAGGTTCATTTCCTGTTCGGCGGCAACCCAGGCAGATCTTGCCTTCCAAATTTGAGACTCGACGATTTTTGGCAACTAGAACTGCGCCGACCCACGGCCGAGCAGATTCTGAAAAAATGCAAACTGATTATTAGAAAGCACAAGTTCACAGAGCTCGCTCTGAGCAACAGTATAGAGGCCCTCGAATACCTGCAGACGAAGATCTTTGAGATTATCGATCACAGTGACACGCAACAAACGAAAGAGGTTTATATCCATATACATTTTTTCATTCATTTACTTTTATTCGCCAAATCGCAATGTCGCCTCACTTGCTAATCGCTGGTTGCTATCTTCGCAGTTCCAACTCTTGACGTCGATCCTATTCCGGAAACAGAATAATTTAGAGGACGCCTCCCATTCGAAAACGATTTTGAACGAACTGACGACTGGCGTGGCGACGCAGCAGTGCGTCAACGCGCGTGACGTACATAACTTGCGAACTGAACTTTACAACAAACTCGCAGAATTCTTCCCGGAATCGTTGACGCAGCCGCGGGCGAATCTGATCGATCTCCTGCCGTTATAATGACGGAGCGAGCGGGTCGTGAGATCTCGACGGCGGAATATTCTTTGTTTACGCTATATGGTTCTTTCGTTCGACAATAACTTTATTGCAATTTGTAAAGTAATCTTAATTTTTTTGTAGATTTACGACGAACTTCGCCACGCTTGTGGTGTGATTTATTTTTTTCTATTTTCGATACCGTATTGGGAAAAAGAATTGGTTGCAGCGTATTTCGGGTTCAACGTTAGCAGAACTGTCTCTTGCAACCCTATTTATTTCATCTTTGTTATGATTTGTTTTACTGTTACAATAAGAAACTTGATTGTTAGAGTTCTTTTTTTTATGAAACGCAAGTAGTTCTTCGAGACAAAGCACTCTACGTGTTATTTATACTTACCTACGCGACTTATTTGAGATCGACCCCCTCGGAACTTTGTGATATCGATAGCTTTCTAACGGACTGGTTAGCTGATACGTAAGTAAACTAGAGAGATCGGTTTTATATATAATCTCTTCTATATTCTATAGCTATGTGTTTAAAATGTGGCCATAAAGTTGTTGTTATTATTATGTTTGCTGAAATAATATATTCGTCGAATGAACAGAAGAAAAATAAGGCTAGATGATAGCGCGCTAAAAAAAAGCTCCTAGTAAAGCGTCGCGATTTAACGCTTGCAAGATGTTTCATGCAACTTGACGTCACCGCGATGTACGCTACTTTCTACTAAAAGTATGTAAGCCAAGAAATTATTATATAGCTTCGCTAAACACGACAAATTAATCTGGAGTTTAGCGAAATACATGCGTAATTTTTTGGCTTCAAGAGACGTAATGACAAAGACAGAAAATATTATGGTCAATTTACATATAGAATTTCCTTCTTTAATTAATTGTAATCTTAAATTGTAACTAATTTAATCAGTTGTACTTAATTTAATTAATTATGATGTCGAATTATAATTAATTAAATGAGGAGATTTCGTTATTTAAATATTAAGTATTAGTTAAATACAGAAGAGTTTTATTGTACCGGCCATAATATGTTGCTTCCAATTGAACAAAACAATTGCTTCCTTGCGTATTTTCCGCATTATCAAAGGAAACAGAAATGTTTCAGAAATAGTCAAATTGAATGAAATATCCCGTTCGTTGATCTATTTTCTCTCGCAAAATGATGTTAGATATAACAGCTCCGTATCTTTTGTTCATAATCTAAGAATAAGTTCATTCACCGGAAATGCCTTTTAACGACAAGATATGAAATCTGAAAGTGTATTATTATGACGCGAGTTAATAATAGACTTCCCCGAAGGAGTTTTCAGCTCCCTTCTAAACAATCATCCACAGTAGAATACCCGTACACGAATAAATTTCAGAAATTAAGTTTTCGTTAGCATGTAAATATCCACGATGACAGTCATCTATTCCTGTGTCATAATTATTATCGGTGCGCTGCGCTTACTTTATTGTTTGTTGACCGAAATGCATCTTGTACATATGTAATCAGCCTCTCGCGAGTTTAAAATGTTACCGAAGAGAGAGAGAGAGCGAGCGAGAGAGCGAGAGAGAGGCACACGCGAGAATGATGCAATTATATGTATAGTGTGAAACATAGAAAAGCAAAAACTAAATAGCTACTAAGAATATCCAGTCGCTCATTATCTTTGTACATATACAATTAGACGATGTAAGGAACGTCGAGACGATTTTTATAATGTGATTCCAGTTAAGTAAGTTAGATAACGGAATTGTAAAAAAGGGGAAAAAATGAATGAAGGGTATACATAGAGAAAAAAAGAGATATATAAAGAGTAGAGACGAAAATGTATACAGGCACAGAACGAGACGACGCCGCCATTCCTCTAAATATACCTATATACGAGATATATTAGACGTCTCGAAGCTGGAAGAACAGGTACATACATCCTTCTTCGAGTTTCGGGACGTGAGCGAAACGTCGATATACATGCATCCGAAGTTCTAGTCAGATAATAAATGTTTACAAAGTACACAGTGCAGAGAGAAAAGGACTACGAGTTTGGAATTTATTTACACACGTAAATTCGGTTGAAGAATGACAAATTTATTACATTTTTTTCTTTCTTTCCTGTCACCGGGACGCATTCTCCTTCCAGGATTATACCGTACAGATATAATTGTATCTCTTTATAATATAATAATGTACAAATGGAATATACAGTGCACGAGAAAAAACAACGGACAAATGCACATTAATATCATTACGTTAACAACAAATTTCAAACTATAAAGAACTGAAAGAGACCAATAATTGATCGATAACGTTGCAAAAGGTATAAATGTAAAGTTTCAGTCTCTATCATTAATATATATATATTATATATATATGAGCAATATATAAATTATAATATGCTCTTATTGTAAGGAAGCTTTTTACATTGGATTTGCAGTTCCACCATCCCCTTGTTCCATCCATTTTTTTTACCAAAATATACATGCACGCATCACATGCTCTAGGAGCTTTGTTTGGTACTAAAATCACGTTAGCTTTGGTGAGACTTAAATATCTCTGACGAGTTCCTGTATAACGCTTGTATTCAAAAGCCTAAATTTTCAAAAGCACCATCGATAAAGTCTTAGCGAAATACATATCTGGAAGATACATAGAGAAGTAATAATATTAAAAATATAATAACTATGGAGAAAAAAGTCGGCTGTTGCTCGTAATAAAATTGCGAGCTGTCAAAATGCATATAATATTCAGTAAAAAAAAAAAAAAGAATTACGTAATTAAATTCGTCAAGATTATTTTAGAGTCTGGTAGACCGTCGAGAACGTAATGAGGGGAATTCGCCATGGACGCGAGATCGGCCTCGAACAACGTCAACTGAAGCTCCTTTCGCGCTTTCTGTACAATATAAACCATCAGCGAGACTCCTACTAATATCTATAACAGTGAGAAAAATTATTCGGTTATTTACTTCTTCCTGCAAAGACTTTGAAGAGGTGTATGACGCACCTGGAAGCAAAATACTATATAGCCAGTCGCCGCAGTGGATCTATCCTCCAGCACGTCCTGCATCGATCTCAGACTGCTGCCCAGGTAAACGTTGACCAATTGGGCGGGCAGCAAACCTATCGCGCTGGCTACGTGGTAATGAAAACCACCTATGTTACTGACCTAATCATACACACGTATAAATGTACACAACATTGTCGCGAGCCGTGTGCGGGAGTATACGTGTATCGCCGAGGTACGTACTGCAAAAATAGTGTTCTGAAGGCCAAAAGGGATCGGGGTGAGCCGCGCGAACAGCACAATCTTGAAGGCCTGGGGCCCAGATATCACGCGGAGTATCGCCCTCGCCGTGTCACTTTGTAAGAGGGCACCTATGGGTAGCCTGGTGGACAGCAGGCCCAGAGTAACGTGAGCAATAGCTATGCCGAGATTGGCGGAGAGTAAGACGATCGCCATGCCGCGCACCACGCCGAACAGGTAGCCACTGGCGACGATGAGGAACAGGTAGCCGATCACGATCGGGAACGACACCACTGTGAACAAGCCTATGAAGATCACGGCGATGATCCAGGCGTTCTGATGCTCGATCCAGTACAGGAGCAGCTTTATGTAGTCTCTGCAGATGAAGACGATGGTGCCCAGGAAGGCCAGGGTCGCGATCGTGATGGCGACGTAGCATATCGAGTTTGAGCTGATGCAACCGAAGGGTATCGTCGAATTCTTGGAAGAGCGCATCCCAGTCTCAACATCGTCTATGTCAATGAGCTGGTCCATGTTTGAGTGACCC